ATTGAATAAAGTTTCATAGAAAAATATCGAAAATGAAGTGTTTTCTGTTCTATAAGTATTAACGAAAAGAAATGACTAACGAGGGAAACTTCCCAAATGTTTCCTTCTAATGACACTGTTCGGAACTTTTGAATTTTTAATATGTCGATTTGTAAGAGGTACCTAGCTGTTTAGAAATATAATGTTTTTTAATTTGTTCGAAAAGCTTATGGCTCAGAGACATAGAGCCTACAAGCTTCTATATATGAGACCACCAAATGAATGTAGTTTCAAGGTAAAATTCAAAAACATGGTTTTTCGAAAATCTAGACTCCTATCGAGATTTGTGCCAAATAGATATATAAATAAGTCAATAGCTCCGTTAAGTCTCAATAGGAACTCAAATTCTTTCAGAGTGTTTCCTAGAATACTATGTTGTATCTATTGACAGAAAAGTCATTGAAATCGGAAGGAGACAAGACTCCTCGGAAGTGTATTAATTTCTATTTGATGTGAAGAAGGTTTGGTTATCTGAGTTTTTACTTTGGAAATATCGTGTTTTAACTGTTTTTTTAACGGAAAGCTGTGGTCTCCTTCAGATCACCATGATAATTTGCATAAATCAAGCTCTAAATGATTGCCATATCCTTGAATCTTCTATAAAGTATTTCAGTATGTCGTTGAAAAGTAGCAGCATCAAATTAAATTATTAAATATTCAAATCGAGCATTTCACAATATATCAACTGTATACAAGTGTATACCTTTCGGGCGTACTTTTTATCTTGACTGATTATTTTGTCATACTTATATGATTTACGTTTACACTCAAAAAGGAAAAGTGAAACAATGCAGTCCCGGAGATATGTCTTTGGTCTGTTTTCCGATTCGATATTATTCCTTTCTGTATTTTCCGTTAGGAGACATTTATTATTTTTTTTTTTTATTCTAGCACAATGTTATCTGAATTTTGTAATTTACTTTATGATAATCTTCGTTCTCGTATTATTCATGTTATTCATTTGGAAACTCTTGCTGAGCTTGTAACTATCTTAAAAGTTGAAATGATTGAAGAACATGTAAAAAACAGTGGTAGGAAAATAAGATTTTATCAATTGTTTTTTTTTTTATATTAATTTATTTGATTTTTCATAGTCAAAGAATTATCGACATTTGAAACAGTATGTACCCAAATGCTTGAAGATGTTCAAGAACGACTTGTTTATCGTACACAAGTTTATATACGTAATGAAATTCTTGGTTATAAACCATCACCAGGTGATATTGCTTATCCAGAAAAACTTGAAATGATGCAGGTAAATATTTGATAATTAATATATGTAATTCTATATTATCCTCTTTCTCATATCTTCGGAAGACGTTAAGAAAAAACAATGACAAGTATTTTCTCAGAGAACTGCAAAATTTCAAATAAAATCCTACTGTAACCATGATATTCAAATCTATCAAACCTGTAAAGTGAATTCAATTACATGAACATTACAAAAAAGTTTATCCACATAAACTAATCTTTCATATTTGCGTGGCGGTTTAGGAGCGCGTAGCGACCTCCGAAGAGTCACGACGCATATCCTTCTCTATGTATAAAGTAAAGCCTATATTTCTCATGTTTTGACATTAATGAAGATAATGTATAGAAAGAAAAAGCTATGTGAAACACACTGTGGGTGGTATTACTAATCACAGGTAGATTAGTATATTTTATCTACGTTAGGGCATTATCCTTTTACTTCGGTTACGATTTGTAGATGCAGGAGTCCAAAATCTTATTTCTATACTTCAACACTCCTATTAGATTATGTTTCATAAAATGTGAAAAAAAAACGGAAATCTAAACGGATCGTGAGAGTGTGAATATCTTTTCTTATCGATTCTGTAATTAAAAAAGAATGTTTCTTTTTTTTTTTTTTAAAGAAAATTGCTCAATCACTGAAAGAACAACGTGTATCAAGATTAAATTCTCAATCTTCCGTTGATTCAACAAATGAAGTCTTTTTTGAAACTATACCTGGTACTGATCTTTCTGTTATTTCATCTCCTATAACAACAAAAGATGGACAAGTATCGTCACCTGCTGATCTTCATGGTATGTGGTATCCAACTGTACGACGAGCACTTGTTTGTTTATCAAAATTATTTCGTTGTCTTGATGTAAATATAAATGAAATTTATTGAATTGAAAAGAAAAATTTCGTGTTTTTTTTTTTTTTTTTTAGCGTAATATATTTCAAGGTTTATCTCAAGAAACTTTAACAATGTGTGTTCAATCATTAATAGTTGCAAGTGACCTTATAACAAAACGTAAAACACCTATAGATGGTCGTTTATTTTTAATTAAACATTTACTTATATTACGTGAGCAAATAGCACCATTTAATGTTGATTTTGCTGTTAAAGAAATGGTTATTGATTTTTCAAAATTAAAAGAAGCTGCAATGAAATTTTTATCAAAAAAATCCAAATTATTATCAATGAATCGTGATAATGCTTTTCTAGACTTTCTTCTTCAAGGTACATTACAAGTTAAAGAATCATTTATTGATTCAAAACGTGAAGTTGATAAACATTTAAAACAAACATGTGAATTATATATAACTGATTTATCAAATCAATTATGTGGACCAATAAGACAATATTTACAACGAGCACAAATTATTTTAAAAATGAATCATGATCAAAATAATACACAAAAAGTTTCATTAAGACAACAACCATTTGCTAAACCTGAAATATTACATGATCTTATTATAGAAAATTATAATTTAATGAAAAAACAATTACCAGATATATTTAAAATAATGTCACTTTATTTAGCAAATAAAGATACTGAACAAATATTATTTAAACCTATTAAAGTAAGTTTTATTTTACAATTTTTTTTTAAGAAAATTAATGAGAAATTTTTCTAATTACTTCATTATTATGTATTTTATAAGAATAGAATTCTAATTATTATCGAGTTTACGTTCAATGAATATATTTCAAACGAGAAAAAAGAGCATAATAAATTCATACAATGAATGATACAAACTAATGGGTACTGTTGCTAGGCTCCAGACTAAATTTCAATGATGTATAACTAAAATACATTTTTATGCATTCAACTAAAGAAATGTAACTGGATTTACTTAGGTCTCTAGATCCAGGACCAAGTGAATAGACTGTAATGATTGATGATACACGAGTGGAGACAAGAGCCTCATCTACACTCTAAAAATCAATGTTCTGCACTTACGAGGGAAGGTCCCCAAGTGTGAGTCTCCGTTTCGAATCGGGTATTTGCTATTTTGTAGAGCTCAGTGAGTACAGTAACTACGTATAAAGGATTCGTTCCATCGGTGAACATTTCAGGTACAACGAGGTTCCATACCTTCTGAAAAATTATCATCAGACTCTTAACTGAAGGTCTGAATTTTAATATTGTAAGGACAANCACTGGAATAACGTTTCATGAAACTTGTTTCATGTTAATTTCCCGAAAATAGGAACTTATCATCACATGAAAGAGAGAGAGAAAGCTTCTTGTCGTGTTATTCCGTTGATTTAGCATAACTGAAATATGAAAGTTTCTTCATCATTGAATATTTTCAAGAAGAAGCTTTACTTTTCAATTTAAACTTTCAAAGTAGTCTAATAATGATGAGATCTACTCATATGTAAAACTTCAGTTCAAGCCTATATCTTTCGATCATTGATCTAATAGCTTGTCTAAAATCAAAAAAAGTAGTAAAACGGTCATAACTGTAAAAGGATAATACAAACACTCTGTGAAGTGTAATCCTCATGGGAAATCTAAGATGACAATAACTATTAAGATAATCTGATGCCTCTTCTTCTTTGCAACAGACGAACTACTATATATATAAGAAACAAATGGAAAAATCCATAAGATGGAATATTCCCTAGGTGATGATACACGAGAAGGAAAATCACCTGTGAAATATCAAGAAAAAAGAAAACAATACATAGAACGAACGAAAGGAAAAATTCATCACACATATCAAATAGTAAACATGAATAACAATAGAATAGCAGAAGAGAGGAGATAACATACTGCTACCTAACAGATCCGTAACGTTTTGAGATTTGTCTGATCTAACCAAATCCTACGCATACAAAGATATACTAATTAATTGAATGGCATATGAAGGTTTTCAAATTTCGATAGTACTAAAAGAGATCTGTTTACACAAAGTTAAAAATAAGCTAAAACCAATCTTGACTTTCATAGCAATCGAAACAATTGATACTCAATTATAACTTTAAAAATTACATATTTAATCTACTCTTATTAGATATTCAGATTTTTATGCCAATATTATATTAATAAGACAATTATAGATATATTTTTTGTTTTTTTTTTGTTTTTAGAATAACATTCAACAAGCATATCAAGAACTAATTATTTTAATTCGTGATCAATATTCTGAAGAAGATCTTCAAATTATTGGATGTCCATCACAAGAACAAGTAAAAAAAATTTTACTAAGATTTTTAACAAAAACAAAGCATTTTCTTGTTTCTTTTTATTTTTAGATAAGTTTATTAATTTCAACATCGTCATCAAAATGAAGAAAAAAAAAGAAAAACTGTGACCATCGCTATTTCTTGAATCTCATTTATTCATTCCAATTAAATATTTTATGCAAGGGGAAAATAAAAACGAATTAATTTATCTTTTCTTGTTCTCTTTTTGATGTATTGCAATGTTTCGTATGATATCAAATTATTGGTGGTTTTTCTTTCGTTTTTTTTCTTTGATAATTTAAGATATGTGATGATCCCATGTGTTTTTTCCTGTTTCATTTGTTATTTCTTTAAAACTAAAAAAAAAAAAAAACAAATGATGATCATCATTGCTTCTTCATTCTTATTTAAATTAAAATAGACTTACAATTTTCAGATCTATTTTTTTTCTCCGTCTTATTTCAATTGGTAAAGTTATTATTTGAGGGCGGAAACAACAACAACAGCTCAAAAAGAAAATAACTGATCTATTGTATGCATCAGGAAGCCCGTCATCGTTGGGCATCGTCAACAACTAAAACACTGCCCACGACAACAACAATTGTTGAAACTCTTGAACCATTTCCTTATCAAAATCTTAATAATAATAATAATAATTCATCATCATCATCATTTTTTTTACCATTAACTATAATGTCGAACGGACGTGATCGTACAAGTGAATTTCAAACAACAGTAAAAACATTTGCTAGTAAACCGGTATGAATATGATATTAATTTAATATTTGAATAACTAATATTCAAAATTTAGAATGGTCTTGGTGGTCCTCTTCATACTCCAATTAATCGCCATCAACATCCTCAATCAGCTATGGAACAACGCGGTATATTTATGCAACAAGCAAAAAGAATTGGTCATGATTTATCACAAACATTTCTCAAATTAGAACAATTATCATTAAGTTAGTTTTTGATTTATTTTCTTAATTATTTTTCTTTTTGTTTTAGTTGCTAAACAATCATCATTATTTAATGATAAATCAATGGAAATTCAAGATTTAACATTATCAATAAAACAAGATATTAGTAATTTAAATCGACAAATTGCACAACTTCAACAAGTATATTTAGATTGTTCTTTTTCTTTTTTATTATTATTATATTTAAAATTTATTTATTTTTTTTCTTATTTAAAGTATATGCAAGATACACATGGATATAAGTCGAAAAATTCTCAAACGCATTCCAATTCAGTTGTTTTTGTTTTACAAGTAAATTTTTTTTTCGTGAAAAGAAAAAGAACATAAAAATGCCTATTTTCTAGTCCAAATTAGCTACTATGTCCAACGATTTTAAACAAGTTCTCGAAGCTCGAACTCAAGTATGTAAAAGAAAAGAAAATAGATAATAAATCTAGATGTATTATGATGTATAGTTAAGTTAAGCTAACTTTCAAAAGATGATAAAATCGATCAGTTTGAATTTTTTTTACAACATATAGAATAGCCCGAATAAGAAGGCATACGTTCGAACAAAAACAATTTAAAGAAGGTTTTCTATACGACTGAATATGTGGTCACATGATGACGCCTAATCTTTTATCCAAATGGACGAAAATTCTTTTTTTTTTGTGTACTCAAAAAGTGAGTAGACTCTAGAATGGGTCAGTATGTCCGGCCGTCCGTCCGGCCGTTTACACGATAACTTTTGAAAGGAGAGTCCAATCGCGATGAAATTTTCTACACAGTTCAGTCTTAACAATGTCTCGGTCGAGTCCGAAGATGAGCAGGATCCGTCAAGAAATGGCTGAGTTATAGAAAAAATTGTCATTATTGAGAAGACCATCCCTGAGGGGGGGTACAGGGATTTTTTCAAAAAAAA